TAAATAGCTTTACAGGCACACCCAATTGACTTTGACCATGAATATTTCATACAGTATATCAAAATTTAGTATCATTTTCAGCACAGTGACTCAGAGATTCAAAAAATCATTACCACACAGGAAACGTGGACATGTCTGTACGATAAATACATTTTTTACCACTCCTACTTTTCATGCATGCAAAGACATAGTGTGTAAAATACTGAATTAAAGACAATTTTTCTGAAGAGGGTAAAATGCAATTATTGAGTTCTACACAGATGCCTAATTCTGTTTTGTAGATGTGAGAGGTTATAGTTCTGTAAACCAATGTTATTACAGTAAAGGAAAAAAATGGCTTTCCATAAATTGCTGGAATATTGTTGTTATTGCACTGCAACTCTGTTTCAGACTCGATAGTTACTGAAATTGGGTGGCTGGATGGATTATTCATCCACTCATTTTCTAAGTGCTTTATCCAAGACAGGGTCATGGAGCAGCAGGAGCCTATCCTGGCAAGCAACAGGCACAGGGGAGGATATGCACTGGACAAGACACCAGTCTAGCACAGGGCTCTCACAAGACATGCCCTGCATCCACTCACACCAGGGCCAATTTTCCCAGAAGCCAGTTAACTGTCAGGAAATGTTTTTTTATTTTGCAGAGGACATCCACATTTCTAACAGTATTTATTTACTTGTGTTTTGTTATGGCAAAAACAAGCTGAAGATCACACAAAGGGATATAAAATAGATTGTGGATGATAGAAAACGCTAAGAAATAGGTCGTATTTTTTCCTTGACATTGAGCACACATTCTCCGGACAGCCTTGTGGTGCTCCCTGAATATGTAATGGTTACATTTTATTTTTCCTCAGCATCACTGAGCTGGGCACACCCACTGCCCGAATTTTCATAGTCCTAGCAGGACTGGCCAGGACTAGATCAGAGAGGTTGAGCAGCTCATGCATTGACAGGGTACACAGCTAGAAGATAACGCAGACCTCCTGCCCTGATTCAGTCCGCACCACTGTCAGGCCTCATATTCCTTGGTGTGTGAAGTGTCCTCAGAGCTGGCCTACAGGGGATCTCCAAACACCCAACTCATGGGAAGACCTCTGACGTTCACAGAAGGGAAGCCCAGGAACAAGTGATTCTTTTTCCACTCAGAGACGCGTGTGACTCAGAATTTGCAGGGGCTGTAGTTACTTTAGTTCCATCATTTGTCATTAGTGCTCTTAAATAACAAGGATGTGTGTTTCCCTTTTATTCCACACAGGAGGACACGGAAGTGCTGTTTCCAAAGCAAGACAGAGAAGAAGGATTCAGCTGTTATTCTCCTAATAACCAAAAACTTGAAGATGCTATGCTATTAATGCTAAGTAATTGTTTTTTTTTTCCTTCTTTTTTCCCCTGGAGCTTGACTGCTGCATTCCATGGAATTTGGGAATATTGTCTTGGCACAGTGTTATAAGGGGAGAATCAAAACAGAGTATTTCCCTAATGGCCACGTAGAATGATTGCTTCTTTTTCTTTGCAAAAGCTTCAATTTACTATGCTTTTCCTGGAGCCTGTCCTTCCTTGCCTACGTTTTGTGCTTCCACACAGTATCTTAGGCATCGTTTAACACACAAAATAAAAGGCACACCAAACCGAATGCACAGAGGAGATTTACCTAACCTCTTTTGTCCTGCAGTCCAGACGTGCATAGCATTTTATTGCACTTGGCAAACAGCACTGAACAAAAAAGATTTGTGGCACACACGGTTTTAGACACATCATTCTAACTGCTCCAGGCATACTGTATAATGAAGCTACTCCAATCTCTGCAGCAATTTGCTTTTAGCACAGATGCTTCTATGGCAAAGGTTCATTTTAGACTTGCTTACTTAGCTGCAGCTCCAAGAAAATTAAATGCCCATGACCTACTGGTGAATTACAACGAAAACAAGCCATTGCAGGGATCTGATGAATCATGCAGCCCTGAATGCAATCTATTTCTAACCTAGAGCTCAAAATATGAGAAGTTCCACTTCTTGACACAGACTGCAGGCACCTACAAGGGTTCTTGAAAATAACACTTCAGACTGAAAATGCCAAGCAGCAGCGAGTTCATCTTGCACTGCTTACACCACTGAAGGGGAGAGGGTCAGTATAAGAAGGCAACTCTCCAGCCATTATCCTGTGTGTCGCAGTGTGTTCTCCTTCCCCCTACTGTGTTTGTGCTGTTGCCAAGAAACTCACATTAAACAGAACTTCCCACAACCAGTCTATTTAGGAGAAATGAGCTGCAATGGTTTTAAAGGGGATTAAGGCCCTCAATACTGTATCTCTGCATATTAATGATGCAGCACTGAATATTATAAAGATTAAGGACAAAAGTTTAATTATGTAAAATGCCTTTTTTACCATCATCAGCTATTTTTGTAAATGGTGAGTGTTATCACACATAGACACCGATTACATAGAGGCATAGTTTTTTAAATACAGAGCCAGTGAAACAGAGTGTATTATTTATTATTTTAAAAATGACCGCTGCTCTTAAAAGTAGCACCAATTCACAATGCTCAAAATAACTGAAAAGAGCTCTGTTGTGATTCCTCCTTGTATCCCACAATCATTCAAAGAGTTATGTGATTGCTGTCTCAGTGATGTGGAGAGAATGACACAGCAGCTGTTAAACACAGGCTGGTATTACTGTTACTGGAACTGCTTTGTCATGGTTTAAATGTTATCTGATACAAAACAAATGGGGCATTGTTTTGCCTCAACGAATTTCTGATCTCATTCTGTTAAATATCTCTGTATCACCATTGAGTCAGATTCTTTATAGGCATGGAGTTGGTTTTCATTTCTATACTGATAACCTAATGTACAGTAGGTTTGCTCAGAACCTGATGTTTACAAAGCACTATCTGCCTTGTCAGATTCTTAACAACTTCCTACATGTTCAGAACTCAGCTGCTTGGATCTTAACTAAAACTAAAGTGCACAACCGCACACCTTAATTTTTAGCTTCCTTGCATTGATTCCCTGTGGATTTCGAAACACTGCAACAATCTCCTTTCTACAGAACCCCTGTTCAGTATCAATTGAATTGGGGTCCATTAATGAGAGTCAGGCACAGAAATAAATGCAAAAAACTTCCAAATAAATTCCCCGTGTTCATTTGCTCCAGCCTGTCTGGTGTGGTTGAACCCGCACACCTGTCCAACTACAGGAGAGTTGAGCTTAATGCTTCAAACCTGCGAGCAGTCTGAAGTCTGTGACAGTGTTTTTTAGTTAGTAGCCACACATCTTTACATACTCCTTGGAGGAGCAAGTCCTGTTAACTGGAGTTTCCTGTTAGCTTATGTGTTGTTTTTGTGTTCATCTTTGTTGACACTTTGCTGAGAATAATTTGCTACAATAATGAATGTGGGATGCCAGTTGTTTAAACAAAAACAACCTATGAACAAAACACTCCCCACAGTTCAAAATACATGCACCAAGGAAGTATGTTAGTGTAAAACCCAAACCAAGGAATATGCAAAGACGTTTGTATTCAAGCCAAAACTCAATCAATGCTGAAGAGAAGCCTACAGAAACTCAGCATTCCACATAATGCTCTTTAGCCAGTACACACTATATTCCTAGTAGAAAGGTTGCACTGTATTTTACCTCATGGAGAAACTTTTTTTTTTAAATTATTTCAATTATTTTTTAATATTCAGTTTCCACTTCTCTTGTATTTTTATCATATCCTTCCACAGGAAGTCTTAGGATGCCAATTGTGTTTCACAAACTGTATATGGCCACATTTAAAAACATATGTATTGAAGTCCTAACTACTGGGCAAATCTGTTATAATGTAATTATTACTTATTATTAATTATTATTTTTATACACATAGATGAATATGTATGTTTGCTATATTTGTTTTAATAAAAGTAGTTTTATGTAACTTTTAAGTTTAGAGCACATTTTCGGTCAAAATGGGGAACTGAAACTTCTATGCTGCATCACAGGGTTTTCTGCAGCAGCGTATTCTGTTTCAAAGTGAAAGCAAAGGTGCTATTACAGTATGTGTTTAAGACCCATAAGATGTGACAAACTGCAGTTCATGAGTGCTTTGAGGAGCACATTACTTGTCCCAGTACTGACCGGGCTTCACTTCTGAGATCACCTGTAATTGTTCCAGATCTTTAGAAATTGGTGAATTAACCTATAGAACCTGCCAGAGTGGGACTCAACAAGGCTACCCACAGACTGACGATCTCGGCAGAAAACCCACAAAATGTCACTGGTCTTGTCGAGAAGACTTACTGACTGGCATCAGAGTGAGAAGAATGTGCTTCCTGACGGGGCCTGTGTATGATTAAATCTAATAAAAAGGCCTAGAACTCTTTCACTGCTGTGTATATTTCAGAGAATGTGAATCCACCAGACCATCGTCAAGAAATCCATCACAAGCTGCTGATAACCTTTCAGGTTAACTCATTTACCCTCAATTGATTTACACTACTAAACACCAAAAGCACGAAAAATGATTTTATTAATCTCCAATAGAAAAGGCACGGGAGACGTTCTGAATCCGTGCATTTAAGGACGACACAAACGATGGAAAATAAATATTGTGAGTTTAAAATTGCATTCGAAGTGCAGTATCGTACTGGAAACATTAAAGGGTCTGAAATGCACACAACAGAGTACATAGGAAAAAAAATCATCAAATAAACTGTATGTACAGTATAAGAACATACTGTAGGTGTTTTCGTGTAAAATGTGTTATATACATTTGTTAAAAAATCAGTACATCGCTGGCAATTTACATAATTCTTTTTTTAACAACCAGAAACGTGTGCGTAAATATTTATGTGCAGTGTATGAAAAACAGGAAAACAGGAGTAAAAAAGAAATACCAAGAATAAGGACGTAATCACAAAACATTTCGGAGTTTAGGACCCAGAGTGAATGCCAGAAAAAAACACAGGCTTGCCAAACCATAGAAGTTGGCAGTTCCGTTCCGATATCACTGCGCGGTGTCTGTTGTTGTTCACATGCTGTATCCTTTCGCGCCGATGTGAGCGGTACTATTTATTTTTCGAGCAGTTTGTTTGCTGCAGAAACTGAAAGTACAAACACACGGGAGCAGAATCGTCTGTGCATCGCGGAAGAGGGGGCAGAAGAGTGACAAGGAGCCCAATAACCCAGCTGAATTCAACACGGGATGAGGCGCTAGTGGTGAATTAAAGCGCACAGGATGGCTTCAGAGAGAAATATCCTAGCTGGTTAAGGGCTCCCTGTACATAAGTTACAGCAGGGTAGTAGAGACGATGCATGTGTGTACTGTAAGTAGCAGCGAACTACAGTATTTCTGCCCGGAGAACTGATCAAAGAATACTGCCGCATTCCGGACAGGATACACAGGTGAGCTGAAACTTTTTAAAGGCAGTGTTGTAGTCTTGCAGGAGAAAAACTGCGCTTATAAAAGTGTCGTTTTATTTAGGCTACTTGCGATGTGCAGCACTGTAAATGCAGTGGTCCTGTATCTGCCTGCCTGCCTGCCGCGATTTCCATTGATACTCGCTCGTCCCTGCAGCTGTGCGCTCAGCGATACACCTGTGTGCCGCTCTTAAGTTTTAACAGGTGTTTATGTAAATTGTTTTGCTCACAAATATGTCAAAAGTTTCCGATGCTTTCATCTTTTTTTTTTCTTGCACTTCTTTGTAGGCAAAACCTTTGCTTTATGTATTCTGTATAGGTAACATGTTTGAATGAATGTGCAGAATGGACATACAGTATGTGACATGGGTAGGGTCTTGTTTTTGCAATTACCAATACTGTGATATGTGATATATGTGCGGTATACATTCTGAAAGCGATATTGCAGCTATTGCCGATGCTAATAAAGCCATTGTCATAGGATGTATTAGTATTGCAGGAAGGTAGTGACTGCTTAATTAATCTGTGCTGACATTACAGTTCCTCAAAACCTTTAAACTGAAACCATTACATTTATTTCATTACTGGAATAAACGTATCGTTGCGGTATCACTTTGATTTGCAAGAAAGCTACATAGCGCAATCGTTAGTTGATGGTGATACTGTACATCTCAATCGATAAGACCCGTTTATTACCGAGCTACAACACTAAGTAATGATATTTAATGTACTGTACTCTTCGCAGAAGCCGGTTCCTTTTTTAAAGAATTAAGGTTGATACTCTTCGACTGCGTTTGATAAAAAAAAAAACGTGTACAATACAATACCGATTGCATTACATTGGCTGATGCATGTAAGGTTATACAGTAAGTTGCGTGAGCTACTGAGAATCCCACATACTGAAGCAATGAAAACACAAGCAGTATTTCTTACCTGTACTGAGATCCCTTTTAATAGTAAATCCCAACACAAGTCAGTTAGATTGAAAAGCTAATGGGAATTGGTCTCTTCAGGTCTGGAAACATATACATGAAAAAACGTCTTTAATTTAAGATGATACAAAATCTGATTTCAGATTTCGGGTGCTATTGTTTCCTATAGATGTGTAGGAATATTTTTAATTTCTATTAATGTTTTCTTTAGTGATTTCTCTATTGAAAATTGAATCGTGCAGACATCGAGCGTTCACAGTAAAGGCAGTAGGATTTAATTTCAGATTTGTGGCTTGACTGGAGCTGGTTTAATTAGGTATTATCTTGTTTGACAGAACAGACACAAACATTGTCTTCCATCACTCCAAATTCCTGAACGATTTGCTTTGTTTAAAGTCCAGGAGGAAGATAAAGCTATAGGTCATGTTCATTCCAGATGTGCTGCGTTTCTTTGTTTTATATGTCTTTACCTGAAGCCAGGTATATACAGTTAAAGTTCAAGTTCAATTCTATTGCACCCAGAATCTCCTTGATAAGATGGCTGTTGAGCTGAACTATTGCAAGGTTCAAATACACCAAATCTTCTGCAGCTTCAACACTGAACTGTTCATTTCCGTTCATGGTAGCTAGTCCCCTCTCCGTTGGGTGGATGAGTCAATGACAGCCGCTTAGCTGGGGTCGAATCTGTATAAGAAATTGAGCCCCAGAGTCGTTCACGGGGCGATGTGTTGGACTGATTGCACGCGCCGAGCAACACTCGTTCTGGTCGATACCCCGAGCTCTCCGAAGATCCAGGTGCTGGAAGAGCTGGGCGTGTCACGGCTCTATGAATATGTGTCTGCAGTTCTTCAAGACGGTGCTTCTACCAGAAAGCGATTGAGAAAGTGCTTTTAAAAGCAGATACCGTTTGCTTCGGTGGGACACCAACAAAGTTGCTCCAGATCCCAGCCAGTGGCAACGTGACAGAGTTCTTAGTGTCTGTGGTGGAGGGTAAGCATGCAGGAGCAGAATCCTTGTTTTGTGCCACTGGTGGTTACCGGCAGAGAAAGGAAAATCCTCCGTTCATCGGCAAGCCATCATCACACGCTGCAGTTGTTGCCTGTAGGAGAACGAACATTTCCGGATGGAGATCTACCCTTGGAAGTGCGAAATTTCTGAGGAGCAGTGTTTGCCTGTGGCAAAACTGTTCTTTTTTTTTATATACCACTTCTTGCTGTTGCAGTGGGAAGGAGTCAGCACTTTGATATAAAACCAACTCATGAATGGAAGGTTCTAAGTTAATCACACTATTGAGAATTCAACAAGCTGTAACAATGAAGACAGAAACCCATATTTATTATCTATACTAAGGTACGTTTCATAGGAAAACCAAACACAAGACACTTGGGTTGAAAAGCCAATGGGAATCAGTCTCCCAGATATGTATAGATGTATTTTTGATTGATATTAAAAATTTTCTTTTATTGAGCAAGGTACTTTCCTGGTCTAATAATACTTTTTGTGTAGGGGAACTGTTGTGTTTTTTTCCTGCCTTTAATGTAGAAAATTCCGACAGTATAACAGGTGTCCTCTTTGAGTAGTTTTTTAATGGGCCTCTATGCTTCTCTGCTGGGCCTGGGTACACTCTCCTATACCTCATTGATGGCTGGATAGACCTGATTTGCTGCTGGCCTGAATTTCATAGAAAACGTCCTACTTCCTACTTTTTGCACCCACTTGGCCTGTCTGACTTCACTTCTGAAGGGTTGTCCTCTCTCTCGGTCAGAATTCTATGGTCAACATTCAAGCCTCTATTGATTTTTGTTTGCACTGTTGAATATTTATGTCGGGTCCCTTCAGCAGGATGCTGGGATTGTGTGTGAAGGGAGGGGGTGACACAAAACAAGTGAACTGGATCGTTCTCAGTGTCCTTCATTCACACCAGACCTCTGTCCTTCCATGGTTAGAAAGCTGTGCATTCCAGGGAAGGCCTGTGGAACACACTTTCGAGAAACTTAAATAGAAATAGACAAATCCACTTTCTTTCACTGCCTCTGATGTCAGACATACCTTGGCTCAATGGCCTGTTTCCCGTCTGAATCGTGATAAAATCTATAATTAAGGTTTTATCTTGAAATCTATGTGGGAGAATTTACTCGGAATTTGACTATTACCTAATACTTCTGAAATCCGTGATGAAATCGGATGGCTTCAGACCACTGAGGCAACATTTAGCTACACGAGGGTTGTATCCCTAAGCACATTCATTGTATTAGACCTGTCAAATTAAAAAGCATTTGTTATTTATTGGAGTTAAATTAGTAAGGAACAAGAAAAGCATCCTTGTACTATAACAAACGTTACATTTCTTTAAAAAGGCATGGTAGTTCATCCCTTGATTCTTAAGAAACCCCTTTTATCTTTGAATATATTCACTCACTATAACACCTAGGAGGCAGGAAACTACTGATATTCTCCAAAGATAAAGCATTGTTATCTTCCGCTGAACTGTGAAAGACCCTGTTTGCATCACCTCAGTTAATCTGTATGGAAATTAGCAATTGATTGTAAGTGTCTTGGGCTTTGGGGTTTCTTGTTTTCTATGTAAAAGTGGGATTGAACCAGGAATGTACCTAAAGCTGTATGTCTGAAATGTTCGGTGTGCATTTTCATTTCATTATTGCACAAATTCATTGAGACCCCATTTTTAAAAGATGCAGTCACAGGGGGTTGTTTAAATGGGTTGTGACAAAGCAGCAGTTTGAGGAGTGGTTAGGGCTCTAGACCCCTGACTGGAGGGTTGTGGGTTCAAATCTTCGGTAGGATACTGATATTGTGTGCTTGATCTAGGCACTTCAGTCAGATAGCTCTAATACATTTCTTCTCAGATAACATATCTGAAAAATAAAGGACTAAGACCAAAATCTGGATCCATGGTTATTGTGTTTTGTGCTGTTTTATAGAAAAAAGCAAAACTAATCCTATTCATTGCAAAAGAGATGAGAAAATCCTATTTCAATTTGAGGTCCATTTTTTTCTTTAGTCATTGAAAAGTGCAGGTTGATTATTTTTGAAGATCCTAATATTATTTAATATCCCCCCAAACTAAAATAATATAATACCATAAATATTTAAAACAAGTATGAGAAGTGTGTCATAGAAACAACCTGGCTTTCCTTAGATGTCTCCCATCCCCATACAGACTAGGCACGGATTCGCATTTTTTCCTTTCTTGTGTGCATGATAATGTCAGGTGAGAAGCTGGTAACACTGCTGTAAAACGTTTGCTACCATCTATTATAAAAAATGTAGCTGCAATACTTTTTTGGGTAAGGCTTACTGAGCTCTGTGGTCATTAGTGCTGTCATGAATGTTTGCTTGCTGGAGTATGATAAAAAAATTGGAATTCATAATTTATATGTACAGACATTTATCTGCTTTCTATTCTTGTTCCTAATGATCACATACCCAAAATCATTCCAGATAACCCATTTCTTTCATTGTAGTTCAGCACTATTTGTTCAGACAACAATAAAGTTACGAAATAGCAGGAAGGATGTACGGAGGATTATGCAAATGTGTGTTCTTTTTTTTTCCTCTGGCACAGTAATAAATTAGGTCCAGACAAGCAAATATTTATTAACAATAAATAACAGCCCTATACGATAAGTACACTATGACACATGTGTAATCAGTGCTTTCCAGAGTCCTATTTCCAACAGACCAAAAAGAGAAACACTGCATCTTAATACAGCTCAGAACTAAATAGCCCTTTTTAAACAGGTTGGTGCCCACAAGGGAATGAGAATCAATTTCCCTACTCTAACAATGCATCACTAGCACAGGAGAGAACAATTTTAGCCCGAGGGTTCCACCATATAGGAAATCGGAATCTCCTAAAATAAAGAAGACAGCAAGCACTTTTACAATAATCCTCAAATTACTGAGCCAGAATCTGGTCTCCAAAACTGATCAGATAATGGCTTTAATGGATTTGGAGGAAAGGTAGATGATGGATGTTGATGTTCCTTCTTCTTTGGTCATCTCCCTCTTGTCTCTATGTGTCTGTTTTCT